CCAAAGTAGTTCATGTTTAGCTGCAGCATCGTGTTAGTTTAGGGTCTAATGCATTATGGGACCTCATTGGAAAATAAATGTGCAGAAAGCATTTGCTGGTTGCATGTTTTAAAATGTAAAATAACAGATTAACACAATAAAAAAAAACAATTTGTCATGTTGGGTTCTTGGAGATGGATAGATATAATCATCATCATTGCCAAAAGGATGGATTAATCTGTCTAAAACAGAGGGCACTCTGAAAATAATCACTGCATGAATGTCAACTGATAAAATCTTAGAGGTAACTGGGTCTAAGATGGCCACTTAAGATGTCAGAAAGTAACATTTTTTACTAAAACTACAATTTTGTGTGTAATACATTTGCATTAGCCTATAGTTTTTTTATACCTGTTAGATTTATAAAACAAGTTTTTTAACTCTGACATGCACTTCCAGGAATTCAAAGCCTTTAAGAAACATTTTAAATAGATAGCTTGGGCTATAATGCCACCTTTTTTCCCAGTTCCCTACTTCCCTAAGGAGGACTTTGGCTTATTTTACTCAATTCAATTTTATTCTATTTAGCCAATACTTAATGACTGTGTTTTAAATTAAAATGTATTTTCTTTATAGTAACTTATTAATATATATATATATATATATATATATATATATATATATATATATATATATATATATATATATATATATATATATATATATATATACCCTTTTACTTTATTTTTGAACTACTGAATAATAAATGAAACATTTCAATCTGGATTTAGAGTGGGTCAGGGTCTCAACATAGCACAGAATGAACCTTGTTAAAGGTAGCACTTGACCTGGGCAAACGGATGTTATTCTGTTTAAATGTGGACTAAAACACACCTCTCTTTCAGGGCTTTTGAATACCCTAGAGCAGGGTACCGCAGAGAACTTTGATGGGTCGGGTGCTCAAAGTAAAAAAAAAGGGGCACTTATAGATCAATCCAATAAGTTAGAAAATTCAGATAATGAGACCCTTGGGTTCAAACAACATAATAAAAATATATAAATTAGTGTCATTAGTGTTATTGTTAGTTCATAAATAATAGTTTTAGTTTTTAAAGCTGACTTATATCTAGAGATGTTACAACCACATTTTTGCCCCTGATCCGAGTCCAAGTTGTTTGATTTTTGATTATCTTCCAATACTGAGTCCTGTTCTGATACCAGGTGGTGATGCAACACATTATAAAAGAAGAAAGAAGTCGTCCTTCTGTCTGTATTTCATTTTGTTATTTTAGCCTGAAAAGGTCACTCATTCAGGAAGTACATTTAACAGGAATCAAGATACTTTATTGCTATTGCACAGGTGTACAACCAAATATATTTTGTGCTTACTAAAGACAGCTCTAGTAAGAGGTAGTAAAATAAATGTAAAATAAATGCACCACAGAGACTTATCCAGTGTGATCTACGGCTATGTTAGCTGAGATCTTTTTCCTGTCAGTAGAAAATTCTTGATCCCATTCCATGATCTCACTGAACTTACCACTAAACATGAGAGCTCTGCTACCAACCTAACAACAACACCCTTTACACAAAGGCACCATCATCACACACGTGGCAGGAGTCTCAGAGAAACTTAGAAGAATCTTCTCCAAACACAACATCCCGGTAAACTTTAACCCAACAACACCCTCAGACAGAACCTGGTCCATCCAGAAGACAAAACACCCAAACAGAAGCTCAGTGGGGTTGTTTATGCAGTCCAGTGTAGGAGCACTGTCCAGATGTTTACATTAGAGAAAGTAAACAACAAGTACACAAGAACATAACACAACACAGGAGAGCCACCTCTTCAGGTCAAAACTCTGCAGTCCACCTTCACCTGAAGGACAAGGGACACACCTTTGAAGATGAGAAAGTCCACATTCTGGACAGAGAAGATAGATGATTTGAGAGAGGGGTAAAAGAAGCTATCTATGTCAAAACGTGAAAACCCCACTTTAAATAGGGGTGGGGCTTAGATTTCACCTTTCCAGTACAATAATGCAGCTTTGGTCAAGGTCAAGGTCAATTTTACTTACAGAGCGCATTTACAGCAGCAAAGCTACACCAAAGCGCTGTACAAGGTAAAACAAATCAAGATACAACAAATCAACAATAAAAACCTAAAATAAGATGAGCACACAACAGTCACTATCTATGATAAAACTGTTAAAATCTATTAAGATGCTCAAGTCAGCCTGCATTAAAAGCCAAATCAAAAAATTGCGTCTTAAGAAGGGATTTAAAATGCTCTAGATTCTGTGTGGTCCTGATGTTGAGAGGTAGCTTGTTCCACAGTTTGGGCCCAACCACAGAGAACGCTCTGTCGCCGCGAGTCTTGTGGCGGGTTTTTGGAACTGTTAAAAGAGCTTGAGAGCTGGACCTCATGGTTCTGGCAGGGACGTACGCGGACAGCAGCTCAGAGATGTAAACTGGGGCCAGGCCGTGAAGGGATTTAAAAACAAAAAGTAAAATTTTGAAACGGATCCTGTAAGAGACAGGAAGCCAATGGAGAAAGGCCAGAACCGGGGTTATGTGATCCCACTAGCTGGTTCCAGTCAGCAAGCGAGCCGCTGCATTTTGGACCAGCTGAAGTCGGTGTGGGGAGGACTGGTCCAGGCCAGAATACAGGGAGTTGCAGTAGTCCAATCGGCAAGACACGTACAGGTGGATGACATGTTCGAGGACATTAGCAGGAAGGTATGTGTAAAATGTTTGTAACTCTGCTCCTTTTTTCAGAACAACCTCAGCTTTCAGTGTCTGGTTTGTATTTGTGTTTATGTTTATTAAAGTCTGTAAAACTGCAGCTTAAATGAAAAAAAAAAACTGATTTGAATTTTCTTTACATTTATTACTAAACAGGAACTTCAAAAGGACTTGAGCAAACTATGTCAAAAGAACTACCGGTATTTAAACTCAGAACTGTGTTGCAAACACTCAGAAAACAGTGTGACCCCTGACCTCATGTTAACCAGTTTAATGACTGCAGCCTGTCTGTGACCACAGGTCTACGCTCTGGTCCAGAGAACGGGATACAGTAAAATAAATACTAGGTATCATAAAATAACACTCATGGGCTACTTCACAGCTGTGGCTACATTTCTACCAGCATTATGAAGATCAATAAGCAGATAAAAGGTAAAATCTAAACATTTCATTACAAAAGTCAACTAATAAAATTCTGCACTGATAACATTATATTTTCAGCTAAATAAATATTTATTGTACGTATAAATAATGCTGGAATGAAGCTGAATCATTTAGTAAACAGTTGAGTGTTCAAATAAAAACCAGTGTGACTTTAATCTGTCCCTCCTCATGTCACCATCTACAGAAACAGCCTTCTGGGACACCTGACCAACCAGGTGGATTTTATTTGTGACGTTTGTTTCCATAACTTTATAAAAGCCGCCGATGAAGAGGATCAGATCATCTCCTCCCTTTGGTTCTCTGCTCTCCTGTCGCGGTTCGCTCCGTTTCTTTCTGTGACGCTGCAAAGCTGGTTTCCCTCTAATAGCGATTTTTGGAGTAACATGAATTACATCATGTAATACCTCGTTGGAAAGCTTGTTTTATGTACTCCCGTGCTGCATTTTAAATGTGCTGTATAAACAAACTATGGTATGGTATGGTATAAACTTGTACAAATCAGAATGTGGCACGTTTGACGGCATCATCAAACATACCTCAGAAATCACTCCTTTTGTGTGAATGAGAATGTTTAAACACTTATGCGAAGTGGATGTTAAACATTAATAATAATCTTATTATAGTGTGTATGAGTATACTTTTAACTTGTTAAATCAACACATACTGATCTGGAGTAGTTAAGATCTGAAATGGATCATTGCAAGAAAGATATTAATTTTAAACCCACTTGATTATTTCAACCTATACGTTGTCAAGTCACTTAGGAACTTTAAAGAAGTTGTAACTCCCCCTCAGAGTCTTACTCCACCCACGTATCAATTTTAAAAACTGCAACATTAGTAGGCGTTGCCTGGAGGACTGAGAGGGCGGAGCCGCGGCAGTGACGAAGACGACGGCTAACTAGACGATGCTAGCTCCCTTCACTCTGAACAGTCATTAGAAGTGGAGGACATTTCTCCCCCTCCTTACACAGACACTCGAGAAGAAAGGGACCAAGTCTATTTGGAGGAGACAAGCGGACCTGAGCCTTATTGTTTTGAGCTTGTGAGTTGCCTGAAACTACAGGAACCGACCCAACAGAACCAGCTCTGAATGTAAGGAGCCGTTAGCCATTGCATTGGATTAGCTACAGGGTTTGGGGCCACGGCCCCAGAGAGCTAGTATTCAGCATGTGTTAGAGGTTTATCTGCTTCAACACACCTGGTTTTAATCAGCAACAAATAGCTGCGCTGCTTAACAGCTAATCCAACCTGTTAAAGCAGGAAAACCACTGAAACTTGCTGGATAGCTGCTCTCCAGGAGCCCTGGGCTCAAGTTACACTCTGCTGCAGAAAGTTATGAAAATATCCCATGAGAAAATTATTCTGTAATGTGTTCAGCCCACTAAAACTGCCCTGATTTCTTTATTTATTTACTAATAACAGCTGCTCTCTCGGTTCTAGGTCCTCCGGTGTCTGCAGGTGGTCTCCTCTGCTAGTGTCGTCAGGATCAGGAGCTTCCAGAAGAATGTGCCTTTCAATGACTCTTTCTCCCTTATTTGTTATATTAATTAAATAAATCTCAATTTATATGTTTCCTATTTTTGTTCATGTCCATAAATACTTAAACATGCTTGAAATTAAAACGAGCTTTTAACAGTGAGGTGCTAGTTTAATTCATCACAATAGAGCTAGTTAAACATGCAACAATGTGATAATTCAATTAATGTAATTTATAAATATCCATTAAAATATCAAAACTGGAATCTAAATGAGATATTTGGCAGCACAAAAAACTTGTCAAACACAATATTTATTATAATAATTGTAGGCAGACAGGAGACAGAGCTGATGGAGGTTCTCAGTCATCAAAGGATGGCTGAAGGCTTTCCAGGAAAAGGAGATGTGGTGTTGTCTCTTCTCTCTCTATTCTGCCAGATGAGCTGATAGGTTACAGGTGTGTGAGGACATCCTCATGCTGTCATAACCAGATGACAGGTGTGTGAGGACATCCTCATGCTGTCATAACCAGATGACAGGAGTTATCAGGTGATCAGCCAGGCTAATGATGAGATGCAGAAAGAAAACAAATCCAGGACAGTGTACAATAATAACAACAATAATAATATGTGGTGTTGCTCACCTTATGTGCTCTTATAAGTATTAACGTGTGCCTGCCTCATGGTGTAGAGTCCATATTTTGCTGAGTGTCCTGCAGTAATGCAGGTTATTAGTTAACTTACTTTTGATAGCAAAAACAAAATATTTAATGTAAAAGTTATTTACCAGGTGAATCAGCTCACACGTCACCACCAAGTGTCACAGGGCCAGAATCAGTAGCCTCCTTCATGATGTCATGATGTAATCACATACAGTACTTATTTAATTAATATCTTAAAAATTCTGAAATGTTTTAATTTTTTTTTTACCTTGAACAGTTCACTGAGCTTGCACTGTCACTGAGGTGGAAGCTGGAATCAACCGCAGACACCTTACATCTTGGTCTTTTCAGGGGGTGTGGCCGCTGCTCTGGGACCTTCTGGAAGATGAATTTTCATCATGGTCCCCGTGGGTCACCAGACACACTGCGGCTGTGAACTCTATTCTGGCTGGCTATGTAAAAACAAAGAAGCAGCACATTTATAAAATCACGTGTAACAATAATCTGTAAAACAAATTAAAACTAGAAGGTAATAATAAAATGTTTACATAGATTATTAAAAATAATTCACCTTTGCTACAGGTAAGGCTTCACATCAGCCTGGACAAGTGCATTCTTGCCGCTAAATCAGTCTGACAGCCAACGTCTTGGGTAGATTTAGCCTGAAAAAAAAAATAGAAGCACATTGTTGTTGGAGTTTATAAAGTCAGATAAAATACAAAAGAAACTGTCCTATATAGGCACTTTATAACATTCCTAGTGTGTGATCGTTGTTATAACGTAAAAGTCAGTCACATATGATGTGGAGAGCCTGAAATGCGACCTCCTGAACAGAATTCCTCACAGAACTGGGTCACAAGCTGGATTTCACGCTGTAATGCTGTCTGTCAACTAGTGCTGTTAGTTAGAGCCACTGTTGCAGATTTACCGACTAGCTAAATGAAGTGAACCACGTCTCTCGGACTTTGCATTTAGGTAGGGAATTGTCTTTAGAAGATGTTAAAACTTTATTTAGCTTACTCACCTCAGACTGGAGCCCGCCGTGGTGGGGGAGCAGAGTCGGTGGGCTGCATCTAAATCGCGGAAGAGCCACGGTGGGCACAGCCTCCCTCTTCAAACGGAGACGTGCAGAATCGCGGGTAAAATGCTGGTTGCAAACTACAGCACCAGGCGGGAGTCCAGCGGAAAGGAGTGCAACCCCACAGAGCTACCGCAACCAAACTACACTACACCATCTCACCATACACGATATGGAGCACTAAACCCGAACTACTTTCCTAATTACACTAACAGCCAAACACTAACTAAACTACAATATCCAACAGCCAAGCTAACACTAAATAAGTATGTATAACACTAAAAGCTATGCTAAAGACTAGGATATGCTAATGCTATACGCTAATGCTGAACTACGGCTAACCTCCTACACTCGCTTGCAAATCCAACTCCCAACTCGCCAAAAGGCGTGGCCGAGACGCTCGATCCTTTTATAACTTTGACAGAGAGCTGCTACGTAGTACTCTACTGGTTTACGTAGTATCTTACTCTTTAGCCATTGGCTAAAATTTATTCAAAATGAGTCAAATTCTATGTTTTAAGCTGAAGGTGGAGCTATACTGTGGTATTTAGGCAGAATTTTTAATTTTTAAAGAAAATGCACCAAAATGCTAAAATAATGAATACACACATTTAAAACACTATTAGACTCTCATTTATACAGTTCATCAGCAAAAAAAAAGTTAATTTAGACGTTACTTGCTCTTTAAGGAAGTTGAAATTTATTCAGAGTGAAGATGTAGAAGTCTCCTCCGCATGATCCCTTGACTGATGTGTCTTCTTAGTACTGTAACAAGGTCTGGTGCAGAGCTCTTTGGTTTGGAGGCCAAACAGAAAACAGCAGTTTGTGTCTGCAAATTAAAGATAACTTTCTGGCCATGTTGATGAAAATTTGACCTTTGGTGCGTTACATAACTTTAATTTTGATAGCTGTTTTTATAGTGTTTCTCAAATGTTTTACTTGTTCTTAATACCATTGTACATGCTAAGCACTTTGGCCACCCTCTGGGTAATGTAAAGCGCTATATAAACAAATATTAACACACCGGTGTAATGTCCAGGAATGGTCAGTTTTTAAGTACAGTTTGACCCTTCAGTATCTGGTCGACATGGAGACAGGAGTCGTCATGTGTTTCCTTTAATCTGCCGGATTCTGCATCCCATCAGCTGCAGTTCAGAGCCTCTCTGCAGCTCTGAACACATGATAACGTATTGTCAACAATCATGTCCCCTCCTCAAGGCTTCAAGCCTCCCTTATCGTTCTACAGGACTCCTCATGCCTCTGAATAAGTGAACACTCGCAGCTCGGATTAGTTGTTTAATCAAAGAATGAACTCTTAAATTTAATGTGAACTTTTTAAATTTACAAGTTAAATAATCATTAAATAAACGTTTGTTTATTGTCACTTATAATAAATATAATACAATGAACTGCTTTCATTAATCTGTGCTTAAATGATTGAAGTTTGAAAAGAATGTTGTGTTACTATTACATTGATTTATATATGGATCAGTGATGTTGATATGACAAGGCCAGCACTCACACGAGGACAAAGTAAAGTTAAGTCAAACGCGTGACACACAGATATTTCTTACCCACAGATCAGACTATCTGGTATCTGAGAAGGTGTGTTTTCTAAAGTTGTCTTGGTAATATTCCTCAACATGTCAACCTCCGATTGGCCACATAAATCATAACATGAGAATATTAAAACAGAATCACTCTGGTGATTCATCAGTTTTTGTTCCAGTTCCAGTTGGAGTCGCGTTCCAGTTCTCATCACTCAGCATTGAGTTCTAGAGCAGTGGTTCCTAACCTGGGGGTCCCGACCCCCACAAGGGGGCGCCAAAGCCTCTCAGTGGGTCGCCAGGACCTCTCCACTTTAAGGGGTTAAAACTTCATTTATTACTTGTTAATAGCCTATATTGTGCTCAAATTTTTTTTTTCATTAGTGAAAAGTTTACTGATATTAAGACAGGAAATAATTAGTACAGAAAGAGTATTACACTTTTAAGAACATTTTGCTCAGCTCACTGTTTTATTTTCAAGTGTCAAAAGTTCATTAAAGATAGGACTGGTTGATTAATCACAATCTAGTATGAACAGTAATATACACATTTAAGTACATTTTTCTCAGTGTATTTTTTGTGTGTCAAATGTTTGTTGAAAGGAATGATTGATTTATCAGTGTTTACAAGAAACAATGTGTTCAGAAAAGTAATACGAACTGTCAAGCACATTATGCTCTGTTTGGTTTGGTTAATGACTTTGTTCTGTACTGGAGCCTACTATTACTGTTATCTATTGAATCAAAACATATTAAAATGTGCTTGAACAATTTTATCATTTCTTAATACTGTTTGTACTGGAAGAGAGAATGGGAGGGGGTCGTCAAAAATTGTACTGGTAAAAAAGGGGGTCCCTTGGGAAAAAGGTTGGGAACCACTGTTCTAGAGGAAGCTACGGAAATGGCCGTCTGTAGTGAAGTCTCTTTAACTAAGAAGAGCCTTTGACACGTCGTCAAGGTTGCTGCAAATCTGACACGGCAAACGGTTCCTGCAGAACAAAGCTGATTTTGTTCTGACTCCTTAAGAGTCTAGACGCAAATGGTTCCATCCAACCTGTGTGCCTGGCGACATCTCTGGACTGGAGAAGCTGGTGCTGTGGTCAATCTACTGGACCCGGGTGCTCAGAGGTCATCCGACCTCGATGACCTCCAGATCTGTGAAGAGGATCTCCGAGAAGGGTGAGGTAGAACACCGTGTGATTGCGTCTGATGCTTTTTGATAAGAATCAACTTCATAGCTTAACGCAAACCTAATTCTTTTACACTCAGAATTCAGCTTTCCTAGATACGGAAGTTCTGATAACATCACATTCACACATAGGCACCATACACCACATCTCCTCCATCTAGATTCATCCATCACAGTAAATTTTAGTTAACTTGTCATGCTTAATTGTTTGGAAAATAAATTCTTACTTTTACAAACCTGACTCTTTCTTGAGTCAAGACGAAGTGTTTACAATCCCTGAATAAACAAGAATTCTAGAATCTTCTGATTAAACACACAAAGACCAAGCAGGTTGATATTTTATATTCATATAGAGTATCACAGCTTTTTGGTCATAAGTAGAGGTAATATACTGAGCTCTTAAAGCACTCAATTTACCAATCCACAGGGCTGTGAAAACATCTATTGCAGGTGTGAACAATGCTGTAAACAAAAATGCTTTCATAAATATAAATAATCCAAAATTTACAGAATACAAAGTGAGTGAGCCCAAACATCCATTAAGTGGCATCTGGCCACCACCATCAATCTCTGGAAATACCCATTGAAATTTTGTTGTAAATTAATTTAAAAAGATACCCAATTGTTAAAATATAGCGGTCATTTAATAATGTAAAAGCATAAAAATTGAGTCTAAAATACATGGGAGTGAGTCTGAGTCTCTGGGCGATGCCATATAGATGCCATGTTTCCTTCTACGGAAGCCCGTGACAACAGAAACCATTTACTGATTTGTAATAAATGCTTAAAAAAGTTTCAGCATTAATAAACATTGTTCTTTCACACATTTACATCTTCACTCATTGCAAGTGATGAAAGCGAATCTGATGTTCTTGTTATTTTGCTGGAAGTTGCACTCCTAAGGATTTTTGACCCTAATGGCCATCCGTTGGTAAGGTCTTACTTGAACAGAAAAATAATGCTTGCTTGCAATGATTAATGTAGCTACTTCCCCCATCGCCAGGAAAAATACACGCTGTCACTTTAAAGTAAGTTTAGAGAACAAATTGTTTGATTTTCCACATATCATTAATGTGTCAGGTTCTGAAGGGTTAATGCAAATGTCAAAAATAAAGTGACCCCAAATACAATTAATTTATTTCCACTTTTATAAAAATGATTCATTTGATAGAAATTTGTATGTGAACAAGAAGATGAATTCATGTTTTCATCACATAATCTGAAAGACCATGGGTGTTTCTCAATTTCAAGGAACCTCGCCTTGATGTCTTGGTCCCGCCATGGTTACCTAGGATGTGTCATCAGGAACCGCCACGGCGTGTTCCAATGTCCGTGTTCTACCAAGGCACCCGTTCTCTGTTTGTTAGCCGGTTAGCTAGCTGAGCAAGGATACATGGGAGGTGCCTTGTAGCCTGGCCTTAAGTCAAAGATTTCCCAGAATACACCGCTGTATTTTGAAAAGGATGGGTGATCAGGAGCCAATAGCTACTTTGGGGGCAAGTTTACAGTTTAAATGTAAGTCAACTAATTGTAGCTATCGGGCTGATTTCTGAAATGTTTTATTTATTTATTTATTTTTTAATCCAAAGAAGTGACCTGTGGTTGGTTAGTTTAATAGTAGTTGCAGCTTTGGCGGCTAGCGGGTAGTACCTCATATTTATTGTAATCAATATAAACACAATTACAAAAGTAAAAGGCTCGTTATGCATTTATACTGAAACTTATATGTATAAAATGTAACTTTACATCATGTGATGTAAGTCTGTTCCATTTAACAGTTTTCTTTGATTGAGGAAGGACAGCGTCCTCGTAAGCAAGGCGCCTGGCCTCGCAAGACACCGCCTTGCGAGGCCAGGCGCCTTGACATTGAGAAACCCCCCATAGCAGATTGTGCTCAGTCTCAGACAGGCAAAGGACATTAATCATGGGAGCAGAACTTGAACTGTGAAAACTCACTCATAGATGAGCGTTTATCTGGCAACATTTGTGTCCCTGTACTTGATGTTTACCCCCAGATGGACCGTCCTAATGCACACCATGACATCTGCCGCGTCCCACACCTCGGCGTATACTTTTTGGGAGGTTGATCATTTTCTTAACAGGATGTCCTCTACAAAGTCAAGTGCCTCTCCAGGTTCCAATCTCTTTCTCGTAAACAACAATTTGTGTGAGGTCTGTGATGCAAATATGGAGATATGGAGGTAGAACAGGAAAGTTAATTGAAAGTCAGACTGTTTCTCTGCTCAGGTTCCGTCCAGAGGGAACTTTCTTATTCCTTCTTAACCCACACCATTTGTACTCAACCCTACCTCAAATTTGATCACAATGCACATTACCTCAGCTGACAGTCTGCAAGAAAAAGAAGATCCTCTTTTGTTTCTCTGAGCCACTGATAGTCCTCATCGGTGTCTGACAAGAACAAAGCTAGTGTTTGATTGGTTGCACACACAACTATCTCTTGTAATTATGAATGTTTAGAAACGCCCTGTGCCTTATCAAGAATAGAAAGGAGGACAAATAAAAGATAAGAAAAGTGAATAAAAACCACATTGAAGGTGATTGCAAACAAAAGAGATCAGTATGTTTCTCTAAAATGATCTGGATTATAACAAGAATATACATCTGCTTTCATAAAACAACAAATTATTACCATTAATTCTAAGAAATAAATAATTTAATAAACAAACAAATACATTATTAATGCAAGATGACAACATCAACAACAACAATAATAATAATAATATTTATTATTATTATTATTATTATTATTATTATTAGTTGTAGTAGTAACGCACTGCTGAGTTTACCGTTAAAACTCGTCTGTTACTCACTTCTCAGCATCCAGTGAAAGGCCAGAGTTGAAGTCCTAGAACATAAAAGATAATGGGTATCAGCGCTTGTAAATCCGTAGTATGCAACAACCATATGAGGTCATACTACTCAGTGTTAGAAAGCTGATTGGTTGAAAGAACTAAAAGAAAAAGTTTTTTTCTCCCATATAAAAAATATGCTGTATGCCCTTCTCCTGTGACTCAGTTAGAAGATACTCCTCTTGTTCATCAACACTTTCTCACATTATCATGTTTATTCATACATGAATTTCAGGCTTACCAACAACTTTCTTACCTAAGGGCCGGGGTGTGTCTCAATGTCAAGGCGCTTGGCGATGTCTTGCAAGGCCAGGCACCTTGCTTTACGAGGACACTGTCCTTCCTTAGTCAAAGAAAACTGTTAAACGGAACAGACTTGCATCACGTGACCGCGGCGGTCATGTGACATTACTTGACACGGGACATGACGTTATATTTTATAAGTATAACTTTCAATATGAATATATAAAGAGCCTTTTACTTTTAAATTGTGTATATGTTTGTTAAATTAAATACATAAGCGAGTTACTACCCGCTAGCCACCGAAGCTGCAACCACTAAGTAACTAACCAAATGCTTAGTAGATTTTATTAATTTATCCCTACAGTCTGGCTCTGTACCATCTGTTCTCAAATATGCAGTTGTCTGAATTAGTAGAGTGTCTAACAGCCATCACCAGCTGGCTAGAAGATAACTTCCTCCAGTTAAACTTTGAAAAGACTGAGTGTCTGATCATTGCCCCTGAGAGCATGGTTCCCCTGATTAGTCTAAAACTTGATCATTTCTCTTCTGCCGTCAAGAAGAACTTAAGGAATTTGTGTGCTGTTTTGACCAATCAATGTCTCTTGAAGACCACTCAGAAACATTGGTCTGAAACTGTTTTTATCACTTGAGAAATATCTCCAAATTGTGAAGGTTGGTGTCAAAACATAAATTTGAAATGGTTCTCCACGCCTTTATCTCCTCCTGTCTAGATTACTGTAACACACTCTTCACATGGTTTAACAAAAAAGCCCTT